TTTTTAGAAATTTCAAAACCTGAAATGTTTCAAATACTTAGTAATGCCGTTAATAACTCACCATTAAAATATAATATTAAATTGGAAGCAACTTACATTATACCAAATACAGATATTAAAGAAAATAGAGCGTTCAAAACCCACGCTAGGTGTTTGTACAAAGCAGATGATATTAATTATTCATTGGAATTAGATTTTCTTAAGATATTTCAAGAAAAAGAAGAAATGGAACATAAAGGAAGTGGGTTTTCATTAGATAGTATAGATGGCATAATCATGAACGTAAGCCTATATAAACCATTAGGAGGTTCTTCGTACATTCCGTTACCCGAATTTATAGAAAATAAAAAAGCCACAATTAATGTTCGGAATAATGATGATGAATGTTTTAAGTATAGCGTGTTGGCGAAACACGTTAATTCAGCTCACCCTGAAAGACTAACCCATTACATAGGAATACAGAACATGTATGATTTTTCTAATTTAAATTTCCCTACCACATTGAACGATATTAAAAAATTTGAAAAAAAAAATGAAGTATCAGTCAATGTTTATAGCATAAAACAGGGAGAACCAACCTATAAAAATAACGTAAAAAAAAAAATTTCGAAAAAAAATTTTGCCGAATCAAAATTCAATAAATATATCATATACCCATTAAAAGTTTGCGATGACGAATTAAACGATCATCATGATTTATTGTTATTCGATGACGGAAATGGCAGACAACATTATTGTTGTATAACTAACTTGACAAAATTAGTTGGTGCCCAAATATCGCGGCATGGACATACCACATTGTTATGTAAGCGGTGTTTCAAATCATACTGGGGGATCAGCCGTTGGGGTGTTACCGCTGAACAACGGCTTAAAAATCATAAAATGAATTGTAATAAAAATAAACCAACAGTACCGTTATTACCAAATCCAAATACATTTCTAAAATTTGAAAATTGGGGTCATTCACAAAAGCATCCATTTGCAATTTATGCAGATTTCGAATCAATACTTGA